GAATTTTACTGAGCTATTGAAACAGTGCTGTTTCCAACAAGCTTCCAGAGGCAACTGAGACGCAGGGAATTGGCTTCACCTCTTACCAGCACCTGCTCTTACTCTCTGTGTCAGATTCCTCAGATCCTGCTCATAAAGCACTACTTACATCCAATTCTGAAAGAGTCTGTGTCCATCTATAATTTGGAAGGTCTGCTCCATTGCCAGAGTTGGGCTTAAGTTTTCCTTTATCCTTCTCATCTTCCTCTTCATCATCTGTGCCCTAAGCAATCCAAGGTAAGGAAAAAAGCTTTTTCAGTTTCCATTGTAACAAGCTGTTTGCATGCTATATCCACTTAAATTTAGGTCCATAATTAATAGCTGCTTCTGGCAAAACATGACTACAAGGAAAAAACCTGTAAGCCCTCTGTACTGACACATTTAGGAATTAAGTATATATTTTTTAAGCCAAATTTTCTAATCTGTATTTTCAAAGTGTGTATTTTGGACCGGGCTTGGAGCAAGGTGGTGCAGTGCAAGGTGTGATGGCAGAGGGTGGAACAGAATGAGCTTTAAGGTCCCTTCCAACCCAAACCATTTTATGGTTCTGAAATATTCCCAGACGAGTTTTACCTGTTTGTTGGAATCTGAAGATTCACCTTCCTCCTCCGAGGGTTTCACTGGGACACTGTTACCCTGCCCTTGTGCCTCCTTCTTCTGTTTGGAAAGACAAGAGCAGAACACGCTCAGCCAAGACCTGGCACTTTGTGTCACCTCCCGAGCCGGCACTAGATGGCCTCAGCCTTTCAGCTCCAGCTGAAGAGCAGCACTCACTGCATCCCACTTGGAAAAGAAGCATTTTCAGCCCTTAGGAAAGTCACAGGCCCTGCCGAGGGGAACGCCTCGGACAAAGAGCAAGCCTGAGCCGCTCCAGCCCCTGGGAGCCGCAGGGAGGAAGGAGCTGCAGCCAGGCAGCTGGCAGGCTCTCACCTGGCTGATCTCGAGCTGCAGCCGCTCGGCCTCGTCGTCGGTGAGCTCCCTGATGCGGGGCTCGCCGTGCTGCTGGCCGGCCAGGCGCGCGGCGCGCTCCGCCTTCTCGCGCCGCTCGGCCTCCTGCCGCGCCTTCCTCTCGCGCCGCTCCTTCTGCGCCAGCTTGTTGTGGTGGCTGAAGGCCTCCGTGATCAGCTGAGGGACAGGGCACACGGGTCAAACGGCGCCCACTGCACGCCCCAGCCAGCCAGCCCGCCCTCCCGAGGAGCGCGGCCACGTCTGCCGAGTCACACCCAGCTGGGAACCTTCCCTTCATCCTCACCCCAGCTTTCTGACTGGGAGTCTAGAGATTTTGCGATTCAAAAAACACAGGAGGAAGCGAAAAGGGAGGAAAAGGAGAAAATTCCAAGTATTGAAATGTAGTCCTTCCTAGTTACACAGGGAGTATGTTTCCAGGAGATTACAGTGAAATAAAACCCTCCACTTATTTCGTCCTTCGTGCCATTGCAGCAGGACGAGCTGATGCCCAACCCAACCACCTGGGCTACTCCATACCTCCAGGACAGCTGGGCACACTAGATCCAACTTTTTTACCTACTTCTGACCTTTCCCATGCCTGGGCTTTTCTCCAGATGGAGCCCCAGTGCCACGATTTAGAGGAGAAACACTTGAAACACTTGTTTTTACACCAAGCGGTGAGCTCCTCCGTAGATCTTTATTTTCAGCCTCACTCCCAATTCTCCGAAGGTTGTTGTGACTCCGGGAGGCAAATCCCAAGGTCTCGGATGCCAAGGGCCGCGTGCTCAGCGGGAAAGCTGAGTACACAGGCAGGCAGCCAGAGAATTGCCCCAGGGTCGATAAGGCCAGGGTGCTGTGCACGGCAGCACGTAGGTGAGCTGAGGTCTGCCCCAGAAAACAACAGAGACAGATCCTCAGACAGCAGTCAGAGGGGGAACATTTATTTATGTGTTTCCCAGGAGCTTCAGGGTGGGGGGGAAATCCAGAACATTTCCAAGCAACCTGTAGTTTGTAAGCAAGCACTCAATATTTCTGCTTTGCTTCACAAGCAAGGTTTACACAGCGTCTCCTGGAGTACAGAACACAACATGTGCATCCCCCAGAATATCCCAGCCTGTTCCCAACTGCTGATCCAGGGTGAGGAAACCACCTTCAGTGCCTGACCTTGTCCATGTCACTGCCCCCAGCAGGAGCTGCTGAAACGGCCCCCAGATCACACAGTAACTTTCCCACCCTCTCCTTTCTCTGTCACGCCAAGGCTCAGCAGGGCTGGGGAAGCAGCTTCCTCCCCACTTGCTGTGGTTCCTGTGGTATCAGAGCCCTTTTCCAGGAGGCCATGAAGCATTCTGACAGGTGCCACCACCCAGGGCATGAAGGCTTTCCTTTCACTTGCCAGGGACAGTAGCCAGGCACCTCTGAGGTGCCTCTCAGGTGGGATCATACAGGCCCCAGGAACGGGGGAGATCTGCTCTCCATTCCAAGAAAAATGACAGCAGGATTCACCTTTCTCTCTTTCTTTCAGAGAACCACAGGATGTTGTGGGCTGAAAGGCCCTGAAGCCCCTCCAGCTCCAGCAAGGGCTCCCTGCAGGAGGGGGGATGAGGGGATGCTCCCTGCAGCTCCCAGCCCAGCCTAGGGGCAGCTGCATGTGCAGAGCCATGGACTTTGTGTTTCTCCTGGCCTGAGCAAACAAGGCACCCATCACCTGCCGGGGTCATCACCTGCTGTGTCACCGTTCAGTCAGTGTGTCTGGCAGGTTTGCTTTCCAAACTAGCCTTTGGCCAGAGCCCGGCCACTGCGGTACCATCCCCGCAGGGAACTGTGTGCTCCTCACAATGGCAGGGGCAGCTCTGGGCTCCCTTCCCTCGGGAGCTGCTGGTGCCCACGTGCCCCCACCTGCTGGGAGCCGTTCGAGCAGGGCACCCCTGGCATGGCACACACGGGTGGGATGCAAGGGAGAAGAGGCAAAGGCCTGGAGGTCACTTTTTACCTTCTCTGCTACTCCATCCTCTCCCCCGGTGAAGAAATCCGTCTTCCTCCTCAGGAAGCTGAAGAAGGTGTTCACGAGCTGGGGAACAGGGAGAGGCAGGAGGGAAAAGGAGCAGTGAGCCCAGGTCACTGAAGCCACCTCGTGTCCCTGGAGCAGCCTTAATCCTTTGTCCTCCCTGTCTGTGGCTGTACCAACAGTGCCCTGGCATCGGCCTGAAGAACAGCCCCTGGGCTCCCAGCCTGCACCCAGGGCTTTGTGTGCTTTGCAGTTTGTTCCCAGCTCAGGCAGGAATGGATTTATGCACGCTACACACCTACATCCCATTTATATTTGTATTTGTATTTATATTTATATCTATATTTATATCTATATCTATATTTATATTTCGCATGTTCTGCTCCTTTGCACGCCTGCAAACTCCTTATTTTTACAGCTGCCAGGGACCACCGAGGTATGAACCAGCACCTCCAAAACCTCTCTGGAACCCCATGTTCTCCTCTAACTTGGCTGGTCTTTATTTCCCAGGAATCCGGTCCCGTAGGGGTTTCACTCCGAGGCTTTGCCACAGCACGAGAAGCTGTTACAGGACCATTTTTAAAATAAATTATTTCTGAGTGGGATGTTCCCACACCCTCCAGTCATGCCCGGGATCCCGGGTGGCACCGGGCTGGGTGAGCAGACCCCGCGATCGCGGCCAGGCCTGACGGGGCTGTGCCGGGAGGGTGCCCGGGGGGGGCTCCGTCCTGCCCGGTGGTGCTTTGCCCCGCCGTGATCACCACAGGCACCGCCGGGGCACCGGCGCGGAGGTGCCCCGTTACCGCCGCGCTAATTACCAGCGGGGCTGGCGCTGCCCGCGGCCGTTATGGCCGCACGTGCGTCCCCCGCTCCACGTGCCGGGGCGGGGCCCGAGGAGACCGGGCCGCTCCCCGCCGGTCCCGCCCCGCCCTCCCCGCTCCCCATGCCGGCGGCGCTACCTCGCGCACGCCGCCCTGGTGCTGCTGCGCCATGGCGAGCAGCATCCCGTCGAAGCGATCCTCCTGCTCCGCCGCCTCCTCCGCGCTCAGCCCCATCGCGCCGCCGCTCCCGCACCGGGCCACCACCGGAACCGGAACCGGCGCCGCGGAAGCGCCGGGCCCGCCCCGCCCGCCAATCCCAGCGCGGCCCCCGCGCCGCCCTCTCCGCTGATTGGTGGCGAGGGCTGTCAATCTTCCAGGAAAGGGCGGGGCGGCAGGCGCGGCGGGGTTGCCATGGCGACGGCCGGGCCCGGCCTGCGGGACCCCGAGCCAGCGGGGCGAGGCGGCCCCGGGCCGAGCCTCGGCCCCTCAGCCGGCCCTGCGCTCCTGCCCTTCCCTGCCCGCCTCGGTGGCCGCCCAGAACTGAGCCCGGGGCTTGAGAGCCGTGCCCTCAACTGTCACTGCCCGCTTTGGTTCACGTTCAGCTGCTGCCGAGCAGCACCTCTGCGGCCCTTTCCACTGGGAAAATACACAACTTTGCCTTTTCCCTGTCCTTTCCTCTTGTTCTCCAGATTTCCCTTTCGCAGCCTGCGTTCCCCCGACAGACACGACCCCCGGGCCCGTCACGGCCTGCGGGCTCACCGGGTTCCTCCTCCCCCCGCACAGCAGGAGGCTGCGGGCAAGGCCGGGAAGCAGCTGCTGATAACACAACTTCCAGGTTGCTTTGCCAAGGCCGGGCGCCGGGGCCGGTGAACGCCGGGCCCAGACGAGCGCCCCGTGTTTGTCTGTGAACCCTGGCAGCCCCAGCTGCTCCGTGGGGCCTTGGTGCCATGGTACAGCCTGGGGTAATGACTCTGTTTATCCTGTTTGGGTAATCCTGATAAGGCCACACAACCCCTCCCCGCGGATTCATTGAGAAAAACGGCCGTTGACTCGCCTGGCCCGGCCAATCAACCCGGTAACATTTAATGAGGGCTGCTTAATCAGGCCGGTCAAGGCTGCCGAGGGGTGTTCACCGTGACAAGCCTTATAAGAGCTGGCTGGAGCAGCCACGAGCTGGCAGAGCCGGCAGACGGGGACAGTCCGGCCTGGGCCGAGTTTCGGAAGGGATTTTGTGTCTCTCTCCCGCCTGGAGCTGGCTCAGCCATGAGCAGCGGCGTGGACGCGGGCTGCGAGCGGTGCGGGTGCCACGGCAAGGACCGGCACCCCGCCATCCTGTACACCCTCCTGAGCCAGCAGCTGCGCCCCGGCGGCGCCCGGCAGCGCTGCCTGTGCCCGCTGCGCCGCACCGTGTGCCTGCGCACGCCGCACCTCACCTGCCGCGCCGCCTCCCACGTGCTGCTCAAAACCATCAGCTTCGTCAGAAACGTGGCCGCCTTCCGCCTGCTGCCGCGGGAGGATCAGCTGCTGCTGCTGGACGGCTGCTGGGTGCCCCTGTTCCTGCTGGGGCTGGTGCAGGAGATGGTGACCTTCGAGGTGATGGAGGCCCCGGCCCCCAGCATGCTCAAGAAGATCCTCCTCAGCGGCCAGAGCAAAGGGCAGGAGCCTGAGGGTACGCAGCCCACGCTGGCGGCCGTGCAGCGGCTGCAGTGGTGCCTCAGCAGCTTCTGGAGGCTGGACCTGAGCCCCAGCGAATTCACCTACCTGAGGGGAGCCGTTCTCTTCAACCCAGGTGAGTGCCAGGCCCTCGTGGCAGCCAGACACAGAAGCACGGCGTCCCAGAGCCGCTGAGGCTGGGAAAGATCCCCAAGGCCATGGAGGCCACCCTGTGCCACCCCTGCCACCAGCCCCGAGCACTCAGTGCCACGTCCAGGGATGGGGTCCCACCTTCCCAGGTGAAGGCAGACCTCGTGGCTTGGAGGCGTGCAGAGATGGGCAGGTGTGAAAGCAGAGAAGGCTGGTCACCTTCTCCCTAACTCTGCTCATCCCCAAATGCACTGGGAGGCGGGAGGGAGGGATGTCAAAACCTTTGCCCGCCCTGCAGACGATAAATCCTGGGTTCCTTTACTTTTAAAGCCTGACTTTCCCAGTTAGGTGCTTTCCCTCCTGGAACAGCTGTGCCCCAGCAGCGCTGTCCTCAGAGATCCCTTCTGAGGAATGGGGAAGGGCGGCAATGGGAGACTCCTGGAGCTGTTCCCATCCTTCCTCTCCCTCTGCTGTCCCTCGCAGACATCCCCGGCCTGAGGGCTGCCCTCTACATCGAGAGCCTGCAGTGGGAGGCGCAGCGGGCGCTGCGGGAGCTGCTGCGCCCCGAGGACCAGGCCCGCTTCTCGCACATCCTGCGGGTCACCTCCTCGCTGCGGTCCATCCCGGCCGGCCTGGTGACGGCTCTGTTCTTCCGGCCCCTCATCGGCGGCGCGGCCATGGGCGAGCTGCTGGCCGAGATGCTGTTCGAGGCGCCGGGCTGGCCGCCGGCGCCGTGGCTGCCGCTGCCCTGCTGAGCACCGGCGCAGGATCCCCCCGCACCCCGCGGGACCCCCGTGACGGCGGCTCCCGCCCCGCCCGGCCGCTCTCCAGCCCAGGGAGCGGCGCTGGGCAAAGGCTTTCCTGCCCTGCTCCCAGCTTTTACGGGTTTTGCCGTGAGCTCCCAGCAGCGAGGGCTGTCCTCAGCTGGATCCCGTGGTGTCCGACAGCCTCAGTGGGATCCCTGACCAACGGAATCAGCTCTGGGTCTGGCTTCCGTGCTTGGAAACACTCAGGACGTTTCTTCAGGGAAAAAGCCGGAGTGTTAAATACTACAGGGTGTACAGACTCAGCCCTCTTTTCCTTAGATTCTCTCTCTCCTCCATAATTCCAGGATTAAGAACACTTAGCAGCACCTAAACCTACTGTACCTCATTTGGGGCTCTGGGCTTTCCTGTCTGTGAAAAGTTAAAGCCAAGCAGAACTGGTCTAGAGCCAAACCTCCCTCCCTGGAGTCAGAGCCAGGTGCACACCTGGAAAACTCGCTCCTCCCGCCTCCAACAGGTGAGGTGTCAGTATTTTATAAGTGCACATTTGTGTGGTTTGTATATAGGATGCAATAAATTATTTTTTTAATAAAATATTTGGTGTTTTGGAACACGGTGGTGCTTTTTCAGCGACGGTGTTGAATTTGGGGTGGGCAGAAAAACCTCCAGGCATGGAAAAGACAGCATAGAATAAAAAGGGATTTTCCATAAAGGTCCGTGTGGCAGTGCAGACAGGTTGGTGGCTGTCAGTGGGAGCGCTGGATGAGCAGCACACAGAAATTCCAGGGGCAGCTCCCTGCATGCACCTTTCTCCAGGTGCTGAGCCTATCCCGCGGGCACTGCCAGAGGCACAAACCCCACGGTGTGGCTGGCACGGCCCAGGTGCCAGCCCAAGCTGCGCCAAGCCTGCCGTGCCCACGGAACACCCGGAATCCTGCGTCAGCCCGGGCCTGCCCTGGCACCTTGTCCCAGCGAGGAGCCCCGGGCAGGGCTGGTGCAGCCCAGGGCACCCACGGGGACAGGGCACGGCCGGGGGACCGCCCGGGGGGCTGGCAGCAGAGCTGGGGGCACAGAAAGGGGACGAGGCCAGAGCCTTGTGGGGGGAGCACAGCAGCCCCGGCACCCCAAGCCCCGGGGCTGTGACCCCGGCCTGTGACCCCTGGGGCTTGTGACCCCCAGTTTGTGACCCCCGGCTTGTGATCCCCGGGGCTGTGACCCTGGCCTGTGACCCCTGGGGCTTGTGACCCCCAGTTTGTGACCCCCGAGGTGTGTGACCCCCGGGCCCTGTGACCCCCGGCTTGTGATCCCCGGGGCTGTGACCCCTGGTCTGTGACCCCCGGGACCTGTTAAACCCCCCACAATGGGGGATCTTGGACCCCAACCCCTATGACCTGCCAGGGTTCTTGTCCCCAACCCCTCTGTCCCCCCCGGGTCTCTCTGTCCCCCCCGTGTCCCCCAAGGCCGCCCCGCCTGCCGCGCTCCTCCCCGCCACCAGGCGGCGCCCTCCAGCCGCCTTGACGTCATCACCGCGCGCCAAGCCATCCCCGCGCTAACGTCATCACCGTGAACGTCATCCCCGCGCGCCGCTACCGGCGAGCCAAGATGGCGGCGCCCGGCGGCGGCGGGGCCGCCCGGTACTGCCTGGTGAGCGGCATCCCGGCCGCGCTCCGCTCCGCGCACCTCCGCGCCTACTTCAGCCAGTTCCTGGAGGCCGGCGGCTTCCTCTGCTTCCACTACCGGCACCGCCCCGAGCGCCCGCCGGCGGGCGGCGGCGGGGCCTCGGCGCCGCGCACCTGCTGCTGCCCGGTGTCCGTGCGGCCCGGCCGTGCCCGCCGCTTCGTCCGCATGTACTCGGGCAAGCGCTGGGTCGGGCCCGACGGCGCCGCGCTGCCCGGCCGCTGCCTCATCCGCAGGGTCCGCCTGAGCCCCGGGACAGGTACGGGCGGGCGGGGCCGGGCCGGCAGCGCCCGGTTAGAGCTGCTGGCGGAGCTTCCTCGGCGCCCTGAACCTGCTCAGAGGCACGCAGGGCCCGTGTGGGCTCCGCGTATCTCCCTCCTGTCCGTGGGCTCCTAGATTTACCCGCTCCCGGTGGGGTCTCGGACCCCCCAAAACCGTCCCTGATCTCCTGTGAGCCCCCAAAACCATCCCTGATCTCCTGCGAGCTTCCCAAAACCATCCCTGATCTCCTGTGAGCCGCCAGAACCATCCATGATCTCCTGTGAGCCTCCCAAACCATCCCTGATCTCCTGCAGGCCCCCAAAACCATCCTTTCTGTCCTGTGGGACCCCAGACCCTCCCTTCTCCCCGCAGGCCCCGAGGCTGCTCCCAGCAGGCAGGAGCCGGAGCAGGAGGAGCAGCAGCATCAGCAGGAGCAGGATCAAGAGGAGCAGCAGCAGCAGGATCAGGATCAGGCTCAGGAGGCCGCGCTGGCCGAGGCGTCGCTCACCGAGGCGCAGCTGCGGCGGCTGCCCGAGCTGAACCCACCCCCGTTCATGCCCCGGGGCAACGTGGGCACACCCCGCAGCGAGTTCCTGGAGCTGATCCGGGCCTGCCGCCTGCCGCCCCGCCTGATCTCCCGGCTGCAGCTGGACTTCCCCCGCAGCGGCTCCAGCCGCCGCTACGGCAGCGTGCCCTTCCGCTACCCCGGCACCGTGGCCCAGGGCCGGGGCGTGTACACGGCCGCGGGGGATGAGATCACCGAGGCACCGGAGCCCCGGGGGCTGACTCAGCCCGCCCAGCCCCGGGAGGATGAGGAGGCGCCGGAGCAGGAGGAAGAGGAGTCACACTCGGATGATGTAAGCGGAATATTCCAGCACCGTCGCCTGCTGGAGCTGCGAGGGCAGATCCCACGCTCAGAGCTCGGTTTTCAGCTCTTACTGGGACACGTGGCTTGTTAAAACCAGTTTTAAACTAGGATTGTTCACCCCTTGAGCCCCTTGGGACAGGGACGGGGCGGCCTGAGCCCCCCAGAGCTGCTCGTGGCGGGGCTGGGGGTCAATTCCCGAGGCTGGAGCAGAGGGGAGGCTGGTGCTGCCCAGCAGGTGCTGCCTGGCAGCTGGGCCCAGCTCTGCTGTGCTGGCAGGGGAGGTGGCAGCGGCTGGGGACCGTCTGTGTGCCAGAGTGACGTGCAGAGCAGCACAGGGGGCTGCCCTTGGCTGCTCCTGCGCTGGCACTTTGGGCACTGAGGAAAATGGCTTTAGTGCCAAAGGCTCCTGCAGAACCGGGCAGGGCAGCAGCCGTCCCACCCCTGTCCCTGGCAGACGCCTGTCTGGCCTGTTCTCCCAACCTCTGTCATTACAGATCCCCAGGCAAGCCATTCCCATTCTCTGCTGCACCAGAATTAACTCAGCTGCCACATCTCTGCTGCATCTGCACCCTATTCCTTTCTCCTGGCAGCGTGGGGCACAGAGAGCGCTTTGTTCACTGCTTTTTCCAGCTTTTTACTCAGTCTTTCCTTCTCCAGACTAAACAGACTGCTCCAGCTGTTTCCTGGTTCTGCAGCCGTTCCTCTGGCTGTTCCTTGGCTGTGCCCAGGACTGGGCAGGCAGCTCTGTGGCTGTGCCAGGGAGCTGCTTCCTGGGAGCCCACGCAATCTCCTGGGGGATCAGCTGCAGTGGAATTAATTCCTTGCCAGTGCTGACTCCAGGTCCAACACACCTGCTCCTTAAATGGGCATCAGCAGGGCCCTGGGGTGGGGGTGCTGCAGGAGTTCTCCTGCTGACTCTGGCACTGCTCTTAGTCAGGGATGAGCTCATCCCTCGTGTCGGGGCCTGAGCCCGCCAGCCCGGCTCTGCCAGCACAGCTGCTCCAGGGGAGGGCGTTGGGAAGGGTCAGGGAGAGCAGGGGGCTGAGCTGCTGTCCCCAGCTC